AGTGGTGGTAGTCAAGGCAGAGATGGTGGAATCGTGTCAATTGCACACAAAGAGACGCCGGGAAGATGTCGCATCACTCACCCAAGAGACACAGAGAGTCCAGCTTCCACACACGACAACAATTACTCACAGAGATGCTTGAGATTCTCTGTCACCACCAAGAACCGAATTCCCGTTCTTCTATAGGTATGGCTTTGATACCATGTCAAAATTGTATTCTCCAATCTGTGTTCCAATCGATGCCCCAAAAGAGGTTCAATCAATTCTTTAAATTGAGAAAATTACAACCTCTAAATATGGTAATAATCTATACAAGGAAAAGGCTAATTATACAATCATTAATCAATTGTTGGAAGAAACTCAATCAAGAAGATACTCCATAAATCAATCTCGTTGACACAAACAAGGGTATAATCTTTCATCAAACACTAAAAGTAGATAAGTTTTTGTTAAATATTTGTGATAATTGAAATAAAAGTAGAACATTTTGAGCAGTTTACAGGGTTACAAATGTATGCTTATGCCTCTATTTGATATCATGAATTTATGTGTGGATATAGGTTGGAAAATATATGTGGATCTTCTGATTCTTCTGCATTCTGCATGGCTGTTTTCTGCCACATTTATATATTTTTTCCTTGTGGTTGTTTTGCTTAGGTGTTCTATTTTCCAAATGAGCATGTTAGTAAACAAGAAAATTGAAGGAGAAATACCCTAAATTGCCAGAAAATGGATATATAGGTTGAGGTGTGAGAGGAAAGGATGTGTGTACTGCTTTGGTTCATACTTTATTGGCGGGTGTTATTGTAATGGGTTCTTTTGTCTCTCTCTAAAGCTCTATTCCCTTTCGACAAATCACGCATTATCATCTTCAGCCAGGTGGTTAGTCTTAGGATTTGTGTAACGGTATTCATTTCTAACATATGTTTTTGCACCTAAAGGAGAAATATGTTTCTTGTTATTGACCTCGTTGTCACAAACTTTTGATTTCAATGTTCGTTTGCTTGCAATGACGTCTCAGTGAAATTTAGGCGTGGTGTTCAGATTCATCTCTGACTTGAAATTTCTACGAATCTTATCTTTTAAGGTGTTGTGTTGAAGTTGATATTTATGTAAAGCATTGGATCTCGCAAATAGAAGTTAAGATGGCATGAAACTAAAACCATTCTTTTGACCTTCTCCATTTGGATGATGCAGCATTGTTGTGATAAGGGAACACATATAGTTCTTTTGACCTTCTCTAATTTTCTTAAGGGCCAAAGGTTCACAAGCAGTATGCCTCGGCTGTTTAAGTACCAAGTGTGTTGTCTCTGAGATTGTCATTTTGTGCATATCAGACCCATCTTTTACATTCTGTTTCTGTGTAAATCGTCTTTCTGGGTGGGCTCATTCAGAATCTGTTTATTTCAGTTCAGATGGTTCATGCTCAATTGTTTCTAGATGCAGTGGACTTTGGGCAGTATGAGGAGCATATTAGTTATTTATTCTTTCCCTACTTGATGATGTTGGACCTCTTACTTTTTTGATACTTAATGTATAGTTATTGACCACATTTTTCTCTTGTTCCTCTTTGCACTTCTATCATTTGATACTATGTTAATTGACATTTCTTTTGGATTTTGGTCGAAGATTTGCTTTGCACTTTATTGATACTTTGCTGTATCATGTCAGACTATTTTCAGTGTTCTGCAGCAGGAGAATGCATGTACTCATCCGCACTTAATAATTGAAGTTGCAGATTCACTGATGACTGTTGAGCAGTATGAATCTGCACTGAAGTACTATACGATGTTAGACGGAGATGGAAATAAGTATAATGTAAGGGAATGATTGTGTTTATATATTATTCTTCAAGGAATGCACTGAACCCCTCAGAATTGTTAATGTCTTATTCTTTTAATCAGCATGGTTCTTACAAGTGGAAATGCCTGCATTAATGTTTATGTTGGCTTGATATAAGATTGATGCAGGTGTAAGTCCAACTTGCTAGTTAAACTGTATGAAATGAAAATTACTTAATTTGTGATTTATTTCATTTCTCATCATTGTACACTCTCTAATGTCTTGTGACATTTGATTGATTTCAAATCATACTTTGGGAACTTGCGTAGTTATGCATTATCTTCTGCTTCTTTTTCTTCATTCATACTTTGCAGTTGAGATATGCTGCTTGTTTCTGTGAACTTTGTGAGTGGACCAATCTTAAGCATCTGAAATCCCTTCAGATTTGTTATCACTAGAAAATTACTCAGAATTGACCATTCATTTGGCTTTCGTTTAGGGGTATCTACATCTGAAAATTGCCAAGTGTTATGTTTCTCTGAGGAAAAGAGTACAAGCAATCGAATATTTCTACAGAGGTCTGTAAACGAATACTGTATTTACAGTACTCAATAATGCAAGTTAAACCACCATTTGGTTGTACTGTTTTATTCCCTTGTTCTACAATGAGCTATTAAAATCTACATCCATTCTTGTTGTCGACAGCTATTCATCAACTTGATGACAGTGTTGATGCTCGGTTAACTCTATCGTCTCTTCTCCTTGAAGAAGGTAGAGATGATGAAGCCATTTCTGTGCTGTCTCCTCAAATGGAATCAGGTATTTTTTTTTCTTGTCGAATTTTTTTGTATGTTAGAACCTCTGACTTTTCTTAATAAGTTTTCTTTTATGTTTTCAGAATCAGCACTTGAGCCAACTTCACGCATATCTAGACAATGGTGGCTTAATGGAAAGATAAAGTTAAAGCTTTCACAAATTTATAAAGCTAAAGGGTCCTTTGAGGCTTTTGTGGATGTGATTTTTCCCGTAATTCGTGAGACATTGTTTCTTGAAACTTACCAACAGAAGGTACAATATTACACACACACACACAC